GTATTTTTTGGAGAGAGGAGGTGGGGTGGGTTGGAGAGTGTGGGGAATAAGGTGGGGAAGATTGAGAAGGAGTTTTGGAAAGTGTTTTCCCTTCTCTTGATAAGGAAAATATTTTCCTCCAATTGAAAGAAAATGAATTCATAAGGAAAATGTTTTACAAAACATTTAAGCCAACCAAACATGGGAAATACAAGAAGAGACTGAAAGGATCTCGTTGAGCAAATTAACTTGTCTAAGAAGTTATCTCGTACCAAACACACCCTAAGTCACGTATTTAAATTATTGGTTCAGTTGAACCCGTAGCCAGGGTTTGAGCTAGCCCTCTGATTACGGGTTCGGCCAAACCCAGTAGCTTTTGTACAAATTCTGTATTTATTTAGTGAAATTCATGGAATATGTACAAATTATTATTTTAGAACCCAATAATTTAAATGAATTAAAATTCCGAATTTATAAGTTTCAAATCTTGGCTCCGCCTCTGCCCGTAGCCTATGAACTACATCTGCCTCTTACCGCGCATGGGAGAAATTTGAATATAGGACAATGCGTTTTACATACATACCACTTAATTGGTTTTACTATTTGGAAGATTCTACCACACATGCTGTAAAGTGTGTGATTTACAATATATCTTATTAAAGAATTTTAAAAAAAAGCCTACAAAATTAAAGTTACCTCCCCATTTCATAACGAAAGTACGTCAAAAAAGGTTAAGCTTAAAATATGTGTTGTTCAAAAGTTATGTGGCATATATCATATAGAATCTATTTTATGTTTAAGATTATTTCCGGATAACTTCTTAGACAAGTTAATTTGCTTAACCAGATCCTTTCAGTCTTGTATTGGTCAAAATTTGACCGCTGCGGTCGATCCAACCGAGATCCCGTCCAAGCGCGAGACAGTGGAAGACGACATGATTTGCTCCAAACCCTGTACTCACAATACCCGCCAAGTCAAAGAACAATACTCAGGGAACGACGAAAGCGGACGTGGTATGAAAGCGTATTGACCCAAGAACATAGTAAGGATTCCATAAATAGAGAGGGAATCTTCCTGGAAAAAAGGGGGGGCTTTCTCTCTCTCTTTTCCTCTCCTTGTAATCTTCTTAGCAAAAAGAAGACAAAGCAACCTTCCATTGATTATGTAAAATAGTCATCTCCATCAATTAGGGAGGGAAGAAAAAAGCCTCAATAAGATATCGCCCCTATTTCGTCTAATGCATTACTTTCTGATTTGCTTATAGATCTGGAGATTATTATGTTTGACTAAGATTTACCTGTTCATCTTCTTTAATTGATTTAATCAAAAAGGTTTCAATATCTTTGGGTCAAACAATTTGGCGCCGTCTGTGGGGATTTCTTAGTGGAAACTTCCTAGTCTCTTTCAGATCAAAACCAGAAAAATGTCACCCACCGAAAAGAACGGTAAGTAAATCTCACACGCCAACCTAGATCATAATGCTATATACAAGAAAAAGTTACAACCAACATCCTCCCCCGCATGCCGGGCAGCCCATGAACCAGCCAAAACAAGCCTAGCCCGCACAGGACAAAGGCACAAAAAAGGAATTGAAGGGAAAGAGAGCTGAATGCGGTCACCGAATTCAGAAAACACCACCCCCATCGACAATTGAAACGCCAAGCAAAGCAAGTAACGCCACAGATCCACCTTCATTCACCAACTCATCAGATCGGGATAAGGAGAATATCATCCTGGGCCACCTTCTGCTGTTTGCTCAAACAAGAGCGCAAGCGCCGCGCGGACGAGCGAGCTAGGATACATCCCAACCGAAGAATGGGAAATTACTACGAAACAACCGAAATATCGTCCACCAGACAAACCCAACTCCTAGGAAGTGATACCCCTTAAGTGATACCCCCTCTCCCTCACCAAGAAGGTGTCCCAAGAAAGCCTTCCCGGGGACTTAGATACCGGGCCGACGAGGGGGAACTCCCCGAGGTCAAAGTGTAATTCATCGTCCCACCCACCAATGACATCTCCAGACCGGAAAGAGAAAAGGTGAGACAGGGAAACTCTATTATGTGCGTGAAATGAGTGTGAGCAAAGCAGCAGCGTTCTCTGCTCTCCGAAATCACACACCCCGATGCAAACAAAATCAGGTGAACTAGGACTCCCCCAGAAGATACCCAACTCTCCGAAAAACCAGGACTAACGACGGGTTAACATTTCGACAAAGTTCGAAATAACACCCTTAAGGCCAAAGGCCTTCACCAAAAAGAAGAGTTCGACCTCGATCGAACAACGACGGGTTAATATTTCGACGAAAGCTCGAAATAACACCCTTAAGGCCAAGGGCCTTCGCCAAAAAGAAGAGTTCGACCTCGATCGAACAACGACAGGTTAATATTTTGACGAAAGCTCGAAATAACACCCTTAAGGCCAAGGGCCTTCGCCAAAAAGAAGAGTTCGACCTCGATCGAACAACGACAGGTTAATATTTTGACGAAAGCTCGAAATAATACCCTTATGGCCAAGGGCCTTCGCCAAAAAGAAGAGTTCGACCTCGATCGAACAACGACAGGTTAATATTTCGAAGAAAGCTCGAAATAACACCCTTAAGGCCAAGGGCCTTAACCAAAAAAAAAAATACAACCTTGATCGAACAACGACGGGTTAATATTTCGACGAAAGCTCGAAATAATACCCTTAAGGCCAAAGGCCTTCACCAAAAAGAAGAGTTCGACTTCGATCGAACAACGACGGGTTAATATTTCGACGAAAGATCAAAATAACACCCTTAAGGCCAAAGGCCTTCGCCAAAAAGAAGAGTTCGACCTCGACCGAAAAACGACGGGTTAATATTTCGACGAAAGCTCGAAATAACACCCTTAAGGCCAAAGGCCTTCACCAAAAAGAAGAGTTCGACCTCGATCGAACAACGACGGGTTAATATTTCGACGAAAGCTCGAAATAACACCCTTAAGGCCAAGGGCTTTCGCCAAAAAGAAGAGTTCGACCTCGATCGAACAACGACAGGTTAATATTTTGACGAAAGCTCAAATAACACCCTTAAGGCCAAAGGCCTTCGCCAAAAAGAAGAGTTCGACCTCGATCGAACAACGACGAGTTAACATTTCGACGAAAGTTCAAAATAACACCCTTAAGGCCAAAGGCCTTCACCAAAAAGAAGAGTTTGACCTTGATCAAACAACGACGGGTTAATATTTCGACGAAAGCTCGAAATAACACCCTTAAGGCCAAAGGCATTTGCCAAAAAGAAGAGTTTGACCTCGATCGAACAACGACTGGTTAATATTTCGACGAAAACTCGAAATAACATCCTTAAGGCCAAGGGCCTTCGCCAAAAAGAAGAGTTCGACCTCGATCGAACAATGACGGGTTAATATTTCGACGAAAGCTCGAAATAATACCGTTAAGGCCAAAGGCCTTCACCAAAAAGAAGAGTTCGACCTCGATCGAACAACGACGGGTCAATATTTCGACGAAAGTTCGAAATAACACCCTTAAGGCCAAGGGCCTTCGCCGAAAAGGAAAAGAAGAGTTCGACCTCGATCGAACAATGAAGGGTTATTATTTCGACGAAAGTTCGAATAGCATCCTTAAGGCCAAGGACCTTCGCCAAAAGGAAAAGCAGAGTTCAATCTCGATCGAACGACGACGGAGTAATATTTCGTCAAAAGTTCAAAACATCACCGGGGCCAAGGGCCATTCTAAATGAAAAAGGGTGGAAATAAAACTAGGACTCGCGGTGGGATAATATTTTGATATAAACTCGAAAGTAACATCCCTATGGATAAGGACAATATTAGG